CAAACACGATTCCCATAAACTTCCCGCAGCATTTTTTGGGCAAATTTTTGGCACTAAAACTGTACGGGTACTGTGCGGGTAGTGTCTCTGAAATGATTGAATTTCCTAAACTAAATTCTCGGGAAACTTTTTAAATTAGCAAAACTAACTGCTCTGAATTCTTCGCTATCAGATTCTCGTATCCCTTCTGTCCAATCCCATGCACCACCATGATCAAATGGCTGATCTTGCGTTTACCATCCTCCCACGAGGCCTCCTCATAGCCTCGCTTCAGTTGCGTTCCCTTACCCCAAGTGATATACCGGAACAGACGACTCGTCTTCGAGTTATTGTACAGTGTCGTGTCAATCACTGAATTCCACCGCACCTCATACTGGTCTTGTAGTTTCAATTCTGTCAGCACTGCAAAATTTCAGCTTCTAAACCCCTATTGTAACCATTGTAACAATACCAAATTAAGAACGCCTCCAAAACCGAGCTCTTCCTCAAAATTTTCATCAATATCACAATCATATTCAACTGCAAACAGGCTAAATAAATCTCCCTAATATCATTTTAATGCCAATTAACGACCCCACAACGAAACCCGCTGAATACTCCTCAATTCTACCACAAAATTCACCTTAATACCACAAAAATCCACTAATAAAAACAATCCAAATCCACCCACAAATCACGAAAACACTGCAGACTTACACGGCTTCCTGCTCGTCTCCTTCTCGCTAAACACCGGAGTGTCCGGAATGGTCTGTGACCGGAACACGTGCAGGTGATGCTTCTCAATCGGATCAGCCATATCGGGATTGATCGGTTGCAGACTCTCCACCAGAAACCATGTGCCACGACGGATTTCCATCTCATCATCTGAACCTATCTCATTATTCCATAGCAATCCTTAACTCAACGTCCATCTCTAAGCCCCAAGCCAATCCCCCAGCCCTCTCACTTCATGTAAAATCAAATCCTTAATCAAATAATTCTCTGATCCAGATCAGATTAATCACTAACCTTTCCAATAAATCGCTTGTATCATCGTCATAGCATCGTCTGCAACTGTATACAAGCCATCCATCACAGCAATTTTATTCGTTGTCAATGCGCTATTGCCGGATAGATGCTGTGAGGTTTGCACGTCCAAATCCACACCAAATTTGCTACGCCAGTATACTTCCAACATCAACGAGTCACACCCTTAAAGGAAATAAAACCATTTTCAATTCTTTCCATAACATGCTCACTTCTTCATATTCCTATTATGACCATATTTCCCTCTATTTTCATACCCTGATTCCTATCCACTTCTCATAATCACATTCTTCATATTCTCCCAAAATTTTTTAAAATGAAAAAAACACGATCTTCCCCAAATTACCATGTCAAATTTTATCTTTTCCGAGTTTTATATTTAACTCCTGAATCCGAAAATCTGTGGCAAAATGACCAGTGCACCCCCTCAGATACCTATTCGCCAACGACTACTTTAGTCACAGCGCCAACAATTGCCCTAGCCACTTCGCCACACTCTCTGTGTCTGCGCTCTCGCAGACCCCGCCCACGTTTTAAAACCCACATGTTAGCAAAATTTACTACGTACCGTTTTACAATTTATATCTGAATTTACTTACTACTAATCACTTACTACATTACTTCTTCAAGTAAGGCACAAACGAGCTAAACAACGCGACCCACCTGCAAACGGTGTCCACTTGGTTTCGACCACTTTCCGTCGATAGAACCACCGCACCTCAGAGCATTTCAACTCGGTGACTCGTCGTTTCTTTGTACGAGGTGGAACAACGGGTGGTGCCTTCTCTTTGGCCTCTGACGACGGCACGAGGGCATCTGCCGACGGCATGCCTGCACCTGCGGCCTTCTTCGTGCCAGCAGCCACCACTGCCGGACTCGAAACCGATACGGCCAGAGCGTTGTGTTGCCCATCCTTCAATGACTTCACTC